GGCCTCCAGGAAGCTGCTGGATGGATAAGCAAATACATATTTCATTTCGGGATAAACTCCTCCCAAATTCTTTGTTTGACCTTACTCCAAGATAAAGCTTGTTTTGCTTTGAATTACTATTTACTCATTTACATCTTCTTCTCGTGAAGTCATGTAAATAAGGAGAGGATGCTGCTGGGAAGACAGATGTAGGTGGAGCTGTGCAGTTCAGCTCTGAAAAAGCCTTTGACTTTATGGGTCCGATTCCCACTGTGCGCTTAGCCACTTTCACTTCTATAGTTAAAAGAATGTGAATTTTCCATGTTTCTGCCTGTTTCCTATGCCTGTTTTTTTTCACTATTTTCCCCGTTGACTTGGCTAATAATCACAGTTTCTCCCAAATTGACTAATTTAATACTGCGATTTCTACTAAGCTAGCTTTCGTGCCTTCCCACCATCTACAGAATTCTCCCTATGAAGGATATTACCCATTGAACAAGACGCACAGGAAAGCAAAATAAAAAGTTGTATATTCAACACTGTCATAACTATGTCAAATTAATGTGTTAGACTGGGTTCTCCAAAAAGCACACTCCAAACAGGATGAAATATGCAGGGATTAGATTAGGGGAAATGCCTATGAGAAAAAAAAAAATGCCAGAGAGAACTGTTTGACCTCAGAGCAAGTGTGATTGTGAGTGACAGCAGGAAGCAGTTTGAGTGGAAACATCCTAGACTGCTAGGTCCCGCGAAGACAATTTGGCGGGGCTCTCCAGGAGTTCTTAAGTCACAGTAGGTCCTTAGAGGGGTCCTGGGTCTCTCAGAAAAGGGCCTGCCTTGGTGCTTCTGTTGTGCTTAGTTGCTGGCTGGGAAGCGCAGCCTCATGGCACAAATGGGGGGATACGTTTCAGAGTGCAGAACCTGTTCACAGCTTCAGACCCTAACGTTCTGCTGAGATCTGAAGCTGCGGGCATGTCAGAACGTGTACACATCCACAAAAGTAAAAGATGAAACAATTTGCAAAGCAATGATGCTTCCATAAATCGGCTTCACGAGGAAAGCAATAGGATAAACATACATCCACAATGGCATAAAAATATAAGCATATACAAATATAGTACACACAGGTTCATGGGGTATAGGAGAAGTCAACCCTCTCCCTGTCCATGCCTCAAACATACAAATAAACAAGACACAGTCACTCTATACTTTTCTGTCTGAATGAGAGGAAAGAAAGGAAAATATATTTATCAGGATCCTAATTTTGTGCCAGGCAGTGTCATAAGTGGCTTCATGTTCCTAAGTTAAAATATACATTACTATTTATGTCTCTTATTGAATACTAACAACAAGCTTCCAGGTAGGTGTGATTTTCCCTGCTTTACACACAAAGTTATGTGATTCAAAGAGGTAATAGATTCAAAATTAAGTAGCCTGTCTAAGGACACACATCTAGTAAAGGACAGAACCAGAATACATTTCAAATCCACCAACAAGGAAGTAAGGGGACAAGGGTGTTCTTGGGTATTGCTTGTATATACATTTTTTATTGCAAGAAGAAGTTTTCCCAAGGCATCTTCAGTCTTCTAACTTCTGCAGCTGGGGGGTTTTTATACCCTCTTTTTGGATCAGCCCTGTCCATCTGACAGTGTGGGTCTGATCCTCTCACCAAAGGGACACTTTAAAGAGCCAAGGGGAGGAGCTCAACATTAAGTCAGCATCCTCCCGCGTCTCAGGTGTGGTGCCAATGACTGCTACCCTTTACTGTATCCCGGTTTCAGTAAGTGGTCCCTCATTTGTTACCTGTCCAGCTCTCTAGTCTTGCTGTGATTCTGTGATTACTTTGACCCCTTGCAATCTTTTGGAGGGTGAGAGCTCTTTCCCTGAGAGACAGACCTAATGGCTGGGCCCTTTTTTAGCCCTTCTGTTCTCAGGCCTCTAATTCTTTCTGCTCTTTACTTTTCTGGTCTCTCTGTGAAGCTGATCTATCCTTGTGAATTTTTTGGAATTCAGACCTTCTTTAATCTGTTATATTTCTCTGCTAATCAAAGCTTTGTTTTGACACTTCAGAGTCTCACTCTCTGTGCAACAATGACTGCTATTAGCAAATAAGCATTTTCAACTTGTTCTCCCATCATTATTTTTTGGCTTATTAATATAGGGCTTCCTGGTATCCATCTTGTCCAAATGAAACCCAATCTTTGGTTCAGAAACAATTATAGATGCAATTTATTGATCACTTTGCATATATTACCTCAGTTAACCAATGCAATAGATATTATTACTGTCTGTGTTCTACAGAAGAGGAAATTGAGATGTGGAGCAGATTTGGTTCTCTGGAAGCAGACACTGAAATTAATTAGGGATCAACACCTGTGAAAAGGGAGGGGTTGGCAGGGAGATTGGGCAGAGAAAGAAGTCAATCTGTGCTATAAGCCGACATAACCTTGGCTGACTCAGCTGGGAGCTCTGGGTCAAGTATTGCCCACAGCATCTTATGTGAAGTCAAAATGGCCAAACCTTAATCACTTTCTTTGCTCCATACTGGATTAGGCTGTCATGGGAAAGCATGACCTTGAACAAGGTGAGTTTCAGCTGAGTAGACCCTGAAGTAGATACCTGGATACTGTCTGCTGAGTGCATTCCCCACAGCTAAGAGCAAATCTGTCCTGGAAGGGCAATCTGAGTGGTACATCTGTGTCTACCACAGACTCTAAGAATCTAGGAAATATATGAAAGATTCTACCACTAGCAAGTGACAAAGATTTGACACCAAGTCTTTTGTGGTTCAAAAGTCCATGCCTCCCACCAGTTCATAATTGGTTTCCAAATATTCATCCAAACCAGCTATATCAGAATCACCTTTAAAATATCAATTTCTTTAAATTATGAATATTTGGCCTCCATCCTTTGAGATTCTCATTCAGTAGATGTAAATGGGATCCAATAGTTCCACTCAGTTTATAAAAAGTTCCCATGCTGGTTCTAAAGTACAGTCATATATAAAAACCTTTGCTATCATTGATGAGAAGATGCCAAGGAGAAGAATGGAAATGATTTTAAGTGCTGGACTACATTTCTGGTAGAAGCTATGCAGTGAGTTTTGGAGTATTAAAAAATTTCAGAATCAAGATTCACCCCTCTAGGCTGATGTTTACTAAAGTCGGGAACCTGCATCTTGTTTTGTGATTGCTGTTACTCTGATCACCCAGGAGTAAAAGTTTGGAGAAAGTACAGCTGCTTCATGATTCATAAAAGCAACTGTGTCTATAAATGAACTGAAGAATTTGTCCTCTGAGTAGCTCCAAAGATGTCTGCAAAATAAGTTTGAAGATTCCAAATTCTATTTTTCTTTTTGCCTTTCACCATAAAATTGGAACTAGTTTCATGTTTTTTAAATTGTTTCTCAAATACAATATAATTACTTTTTTAAATGTAGTAAATTCTTCAAATTTGCATATGTAAATAAAAAGTATAATTTTCTGATCAAACAGGACATGATTATAACGGGACGAGGGTCATGATAAAAGCTTAATTACTAGATGAGGCATAAGTTTAAAGCAAAATGGACTTGTTCCTGAGCTAGCAAACTTCTGAGACAGGCTTCTTTCAGTTCTTTATGAGAATGAAGATATGAGTCAGATTCTGATGGAGGGTTCTGTAGACAGTGGGGCTCTAAGGACTCCAGGTATGGAGGGACATGCTGAGAAAAGTCACAAAATACGTATCTTTTAAAAAATACATTAGATGTTACATAAGGTTGCCCCCCCAAATTTTGTCTAATTAGCATGGGTTTTTTCACATAAAAAAATCTCTAAAATAGTGAATCATGAATAAAATTCTGTGCTGAGATAAACAAAATTCATATGACTTCTCTCTGGTTTGGGACAATATCCTGAGATCCTTGGCCTATGGTTTATGACTTTTGACCTCTGAGACAATTTTAAAGGGACAATGAGCCTTGTCTCAGATGCCACAGGACATTTGCATTCCACCTTGAGAGTGGGAAAGTTGTGTACCTATGACTCTAATATTTCCCAGAATGTCAATGCCAGTAATAGAAGTTCTAAGAAGCTATGAATAGTTACTCAGTGTTACTCCATGATGGTTGAAATGCATGAATATTTACATTCTAACACAAGGGTTGATATGAGGAAGCTGCAGTGCTGGTTGACTGAGCTCTTTAAAATCAAGGACAGTGACTTTTCATCTTTGTGCCTCCAACCATTGCACAGTGTGTATCTGAATCAATGAATGTATGTATGATAACTGATTTTTAACCTTATATACTTAAAACCATTTATATTTAACCTTGGAAAAAATCATCGTCCTCTGAAAGAAAGAGTTCTAAAGTCAACTTCTGTCAATGACCACCTATGTCACAAGTCTAGAGTTTTCATTTTCATTTAGAATCTCAAATGGGTGATTTTAATTAGCTTCTCTGGTTAGAAGTTAGCTACTTATTATTACAAGTAGCCTTGGAGAAAACAACTCCACATTGATCTTGAACTTTTCCATTTCTTCCTTTATTGTTTGTATTCTGTTTAGTCCAGACAATCACCACATGAAGAAATGTTGAAAATGGAAGTTTCCTTTCACTGATTTTCAAGATGTTATTCAGCTTGGAACTTTATTATTTAGAGAGGATGTGTAGCCAGTACTAATGATGATCTGGTTCCATTGATATTTATCTATAGACTAAAAAATAGCTGCCCTTCCCTCAACCGCTGAGGAAGGGGACCTGTCACTCATGTTCTCCATAATCTCAGATAAATCTCCACTGGCTTAATGACAATAAGCATTCTCATCTTATTATGACCTGATGTTTGGGAAGAAAAATCTAAAATCTCTTACATAAAAGAAGTTTCATAATCACAAGCTATGAAATGGGGAAAAATGTATACTTACAATAGGTACTTTTTACCATGAATTTCCTGACCTTAATTTGATTAAAATCTCTACCTAAATATTGCAACAATTAAGATTTCTGTAGAGTTTGTTCATTTCACTGAACTTTGAATGAGAAAAACCCCAATATGGGGCAAAAAGAGAAGTTAAAGACTGAGCTGCTCTGCAGATCAGGGCATTTCAAAGTGAACAGCCAATTTGACAAGAAGCAAAAGCCTCAGAACAGAGTTCCATATAGTCTTTCTGGTTATTTTGTTTTGCAAACTGTTCAGGCTCTTCTTACTGTCCTCTCCCACCTACTCTCTCTTCCCTATTTACTTTATAGATGTCATTGAAGTAGGTAACCTGATCCAACCCCGAAGGATTTAGGGGAGGAAGGGAAACCTACTTGAGTATCCCTGATAGAAACAGGAAATGAAGACATCGCTTGCCATGCTTGGTATTGGGAAGTTGTCTTGGGTCCTCTTTCTAATCCTACATCTAGGCATTTGGAGTATCAGTGGTAAGGCACCTACTTTTTCTTATATTTCTCAGAGGGTTTTGGAGGCAATGTTTTCCTTTTCTGATCTTAGTAAGATGTGTTGTTTATGTCAAGTAGATAATGGTAGATGCAACCGAGTAGTTAGATTTGCTCACTTAAAGACATTATAGGACATAAACCAAACGAAAACACAGTCATTAAGTCGTAGCTTGGCTGGTTTTCTTAAAAACATGTTCTAATGGTAGGAAAAGAGAATTGAGCAGACCCTATAAATAGATCAGTACAAATTTTTCACTACTACTAGAAAAATACTCCAGATGCTCTACTGATGGTGAATAAATAGCTTGATCTTTCCAAACTGAGGCTAGAGGAGTGTTGAGGTGCTCAGTTGGGTAGGATAGGTGTTGGATAACTCAAGTTATACCTGACGCCATGGTTACTCTTAAATGATGTGACTAAATAGAATCTTGCTATGCTTCGGTGGGGTAGGTGCCTTGAGACTCCTGAATGAGACAGTGCTGAGAAATATGGGACGGAAGCACTTCATCTCTGCTTCTATTACGTTGAAAGAGAACGGGTCCCCTTTGGGCGTAATTGGACATAGGAAATTCTCGAATTCTGCATAGATGATGTTTGGCCACTTCTGCAAAGATTTTATGCAGGCAAAAAAGTGATTTCCCTTGTTCCTTCACATTGTTACAGGTGCCTGCATATTGCAAAGAGGGAAGGGCTACAAAATGCTAGTGGAAGTTTCTGATTTCCTGGTTTCAAATATCCTGCCTTATTATCCCCACAAGCAAACATACTTTTATCAGTTTTTTTTTCTGATTTTTTTTATTGTGTTGGTTTCAGTTGTATGGCAAAGTGACTTGGTTATACATATACTTATTTATTTATTTATTTATTTATTTATTTATTTATTTATTTATATACCTATATTCTTCTTTGATTCTTTTCCATTATAGTTTATTACAAGATATTGAATACAGTTCCCTGTGCTATACAGTAAATCCTTGTTGTTCCTTGTCAGTTTTAAATCAGAAAATACAGTCCCTGAAATCCTACATGATGTCATCTTCGATTCTGGAACTGTGGGGTTTGGAATTTGTCTTTGTGATGCCGGGATGACACACAACCATGTGCAAAATGAAAGTCCCCTTCAGTCATCTAAGCATTTTCATGTTTGTAAGTATGTGCTATTATGTTGACGGGGTGCTTAGATGGCTGGCTGGATTTTTCACTTTCTATCAGATGCCTACAATCACATAGCTACAATGGAAGTCAAATATTATTAAACAGAAATCATATTGGCTGGGAGAATATGTAAACTATTCTTTGTGAAATGAAGTAAATGAATGTTCAGTGATATATCACGCTGGGAGTATGGTACAATATCTGCTCCTCCTCTCGATGTGCTTACTAAAACAGACTTGGCTGTTAGAATTGGGTTCATTTACAGGCTCTGCCATTTACTGTGTGACCTTGGTTAAGTTTCTTATCCTCTCTTATCATTCATTTGTAAAATAGAGATAATAATTGTACCTCAATTATGGGCCCATTGTGAAGACCTGGAACAGTAAGTGCACATAAGAAAAGTCTGATAAACATTAATGGTATTTTTACTAATATCCTTTACATCAAGCCACCCCCACAAAATTCAATTAAATGAGAAGCAAGTTTTAACATCATCATTTAAAATAATTGAGTTTTTGAAGCTAAAATAAAATGAATACATGAAATATATTGTACAATATATTTAGCCAAAAATATAGTGACTTCGAATTATCTGAAAAATGAAACAGAAAGCCTTGGACAAAGTACAGGGCAGGTATCTTATACAGCAGTTGATGCATTGCAGTGGCACTTGAATTAAATTAAGAATACAGGTTGAGATAAGGAATGTTTGGTGAGCTTTGTTCTCCTGGACAGAGCTAATGGGTCTATTCCTTAAGACCTCGTTAATTTTTAACCTTTATATCTTGGGGATTTCCTATAGTTCACTTAATTACTGAATTCTTTACACTGGCACAGTTTCAAAGTGTTTAAAAATAATAAAAAAAAATTTTTCCCTCCACTTCAAAGCAATGTGAGGTCTGTGTGCCTCTTCCCGAGAATGAGGCTACATCAATAGTAAGGTCATAGAAAAGGTAATGTTATCTACAAACAGCCTGTCTAAGGTCTTTCTTTATAATGAAATAACACAATATAATGCTTGCTTGCTTTTGTGTTTCTCAAAAAATATTAGGGGGATCTCTGCTCCTTTGTGTCCGGCATATTATTTCTGTCTAGATGAAAGTATTAAAAGTGTCAGCACATACACATGGACAGATGGCAGGTGATGCTGTTGAGAACGAGGCTGCAGGTGGAGATGCCCCTTTCAGTCACCTGCTCATCCCCAATGAGCAGCTCCCGCTGTGAGGCCCCGGACCGCTTGTTCAATTGAGCATCATTGAGGATTCCACCTTCAAGCAGCCAGGAGCGCAGCAGTTGATGTCTGGCTACTGCTTGGCACTGTATATGATCCTGAACGAAGCCAGGAGGAAGTCTCTGATTGATCACTGTTTATTCTAATAAATTATCCTAATCTGGACTAGAACCAGAGAACACATATAGTTTGGCTCTTTTGAGAACAGAGAGGTTGAGGCCAAGTCTCCGTTGGGTCTTGCCTGTGTTCTCTTTCTCCTTTATTGTGCTGATTCAGTGTGTTCCATGGATCCATACTTCACATCCCTCCCAGATTGCGTTTCTCCACCATGAACAGACGTTATCCTTTGTTCAAAGCAGAAACACCAGGGCAGAAGGTGCTCAGTATCTGTCTGTTGCTTTCAAGTCTGATTTTGTAACACGCATCTATATCAGGCTTATTTCTCTGAATCTACCTACTTGTTCCTACTGGAAAATGCAAATCGTCTGCCAGAGATAGAGCCCTGCCTCCTGCCAGTGCCCATGTATTGTTATCACAAAAATGTCTGCCATAAAATATGACTACCTCCTACATAAATGTCTAGGAATACATCCTGCAGCTGTAGGGTTTCCTGGATTAAGGTGTGAAAAGACTAACCCCTGTGTTGATCACAGCCTTGAATAGACTTTTCTAACACTGAGCTCTTTAATTAATTATCACTTCCTCTGTCCCACTATCAAAATTTCCTCTATTATGACATTGAAGTCAGATAGTTTATCTTGCTTCACTGGGACTTTCCTTCTTAATTTCCATTATTTGTGAGTTTCAGAGTTGTTGAAAGAAAAATGTTCACAAACACTTGTAATCACGTGCAAACACAAAATCCCCCTTTTGCATTGTTCCTTGGAGAGGCAGTGGTGGAGAGGGTAAGGTCAGGGACTCTGGAGTATTAGATCACCCTCCCATCGCTGCCATTTGCTGGTTGTATGACTGTAACCTCTCTGGTTCTCTTTCCTCATCTAAACAATGGGGACAATAATGATATTGACCTTACAGGGTTGCTGTAACTATTAAGTGAATTAATTCTCTAAGGCTCTTAGGACAGTGCCTGATGCATTTTAACTGCTATGTAAGTTTGGCTAATAATGTTTTAGTTTTTTGTTTGTGTTTCAGTCCAAAATTTAATTAGCTTGATAGTTCCCTTAAAGTAGCATTGGGTAATTGTCTCTCATTTGGGATTGACAAAAATAGTCTATGAAAAACTGTTGACATCATTATCTGCTATCATCCCCAATCACCAAGAAATGAGAACAGAGTTTGGGAGTCCTGAGACTTGAGTTACATCGTGTCAATGAATTATTGTATCATAAGCAATTTGCTTCACTTTTCTAATTTTCTTCACTCCCTTACATCAAAATAAACTTAGTACTTTCCACCTTTCTGGCATCCTTTCATGGTTACAGACTCTAATTTCCATGCTTATCTCTATGGAAGAAAGTACTGTGTGCCTGTGTCTGTGGATACACATGCAGGGGTATTGTGTTCATATGCTCAGAATCTAAACATGCACAAGTTGAGGTTCTTTTTGAACACAGTCCGGGAGAATGTTAGAGGGGCCATCTGGGCTGGTCACAGGGAAGTGTTAGGTTTAGCTGGTAGAACCCTTAGCTTTTCTTAGCTTTTCTCCTTCCTGATAGCCATGTTTATCTTATGAACATAACCCGGAACTTGCATATCTCACAAACAGCCCATTGTCCAGAAGTAGCTATGAGGAAGGCTGCAACACTTCGGTTCTAGCTGGATGGTGATGGCTCCATTTCTTTTTCTCCTGTGATATTAGGAGGAGAGAATTAATATTGGGGGACAATTGGCACTTCTGCCCACATAGATAATGTTAAATATCTTCCAGAATTTGAGAAATGCCAGTGAATCTCAGTGTGATCCCTGCGGTAGAATGGATTAGGAAGGTGAGGGAATATTTGGGGGAGAAGCAGAGGTGGACTTTCCCTGTGTCCTTCCAACAACGCATAACCCACGATTATTCTGAACAACACATGTAACCCCTCTATCACTGAAGGCAATACTTAGAAATACATTGGTTTCTTACAAAATGCCAATGGGTCTCTTGGATGCTACTATCCACAGCTTCTAAGGTATGTTTCAGGCATTTCCCGCCCTGCTTTTCTCCCTAAAGTCACTATGACTGAGGTGGAGGGACTACTATCTCTGAAGGACGAGCCCACCTGTGCCAGACAGTCTTCCTTGCCCAGAACTATTCTCCAAATTGTCAACATGAATCATTTTACTTTCAGGCCTATTGAACTGGCTAAATACGTTTGCTATTCCAGAGACCTAATTACATACTGGCCAACGAATTCTCCACCAGATACTTATCTCTGTCAGATAGGGCAGGCAGGACGCTGAAGGACTGGAATGGGTCCTCTGGTCTGGGGAGACAAAGTCAGTGACCAATAGGTTAAAACCATAGGGGGACATATGTCATTTGGTAGAAATGTAATGAAGAAGTACTGAGAGACGTCTTAAGAAAATACCCAAAGATGAAGGTTTTTTTTACTTCCTAGTTTTAACCAAGGCTGGTCTTCCTGATTAGTAAAAT